ACCTTATCTTCCCAACACAGCAAACACACTGTTTAGTTTCTTTTCTGGGAGAAGTTTCTTTTCTGGGAGAATTCAAAAAACTTAGAAGACTGTGACCCAGACAGAGTATTGCTTATTGCAATTTATAGCACAAATAAATTTTGAGATGTACTAAGAGTCTCTTTAAAAATATCATATGTAGAGACAATCTTAAACTTTGATCATGAAACTCAATATCTAGAATTAAAGAAAATCATAGAGAACCGATAAATTGACTATATTACAAAACTCCTATGCTGAAAAAAACACCTTTGATAATATTCCCACTTCCTGCCTACTACCTAAGGCCTTCTTCTGTAAGTTCAAACTCTAGGGGAGAAAAGAGATATTTTTTAGACACAGTACCTCAAATTAAAATACAAGTTATTGTCTAGGAATTTAAAAAAATCTCTCTGGCTTTCTTACAGGGGAGAGATATGATATGTGGTCATGTTGAGAACATTTATAAAGCCTTAGGATATTTAGAAGGTGGCCTCACTGAGAAATATTGGAACGGCATGCAATCTGCCAAAATGACTCTGAGAAACTAGACATCAACAAATTGAAACAAAGAAAAGTGAATATAATTTGGAACCCAAATTCTGATATCCATCTCCTTGGAGACAGCTGGGTGAAATAGGTAACTATTTTTCCTTGTTATATTTTGGTACTTCAATACAATTCTGAATTATTTTTTGTAGACTGGACCGTTGCTTCCTGTATGTGTGTGTGTATGTGTGTCTTTGCTTTTTTATATCATGATTTCATGCTCTTTTATTGACGGGGGGGAGGATTAATCTTTTTTCTTAACTTTTTGTTTTTAAATGACTTGAAAGTTACAGAAAAGGTGTAAAACAATACAAAGATCTCTTGTATACCCTTCAGTCAGGTTCCCAAATATCGACATTTTGGTACATTGATTTTACCATTCTTTTTTTCATACATGTACACTATATATACATACGGATATTACAATATATTTTTCTAAAGCATTTGATATTAAGTCTCCAACATGATACCCTAATACACTTTCAAACTTCAAAATCTATTTCCTAAAAATGAGGATGCCTACCTAATCACAGTCAAACCTTTAATATCAGGGAATTGACACTGATCAGATATTACCATCTAATCTACAGACCCATTCAGATTTTGCCAGTTGCCCTAATAATTTACTTTATAGAGTCCAAAGATCACATGCTGCATTTAGTTATCATATTTGTTCAGTCTTCAATCTGTAACAATTCCTCAGTCTCTCCTTGTCTTTTATGACTGTGAAATGTTTGAAGAGTCCAAGCCAATTATTTTGTAGACTGCCCCACAGTTGTGGTTTGTCTGATGTTTTCTTGTGATTTACGCATTTTTGGCAGAAGTATCAGAGAAATGGTGTGTGTACTTCTCAATGTGTAATTTCTGGAAGCACATGATATCCATATGTCTCATTCTTGGGGCTATCAATTCTTATCACTTGCCATGGATGGATTTCCCAGGTTTCTCCATTGTAAGGTTATTTAGTTTGTGTTTTGTATCTATTAATTGATGGGTATTTTTTTTAGGTGATTTGTGGAGAAAAGTTTGAGACTATGTAAATATCCTGTTCCTCATCATTTACCCACCAATTTTAGCATCCTTCTCTGACTCTTGCCTAAACCAATATTTCTATAATGGCTTACAAATGGTGATTTTGAAAATTCTATAATTTCTTTTACATGTATGGCATGCTACTGTAAGACAGTTTTCCTTTCACTATAGAAGCTCTGTCATCTATCTATCATCATTTGTCTATGTACATACCTACCATCTATACCAGTTTTAACTCAGCTTCCTTTTTTTACTCAGTGTTCACAATCCATTATTGTTTAATGTCTTGATGATCACTTTGTCCCAGGCTTAGCCAATGAAAGCCCCTTCAAGTTGGTACCTACATCCTTTGACATAATCCTTCAGGTTTTCTTTTTTTTTTTACTTTCTGGCACAAGATATTCCTGGCTCATCTTGTTGTTTTCTTTTCCCATCCCTAGATTCATCCTCGATTTTTAGTAGAGAATGCCACTTAGAAATCAATATCTGAGTGCCTTGGATAGTTGGTACCAGAGTGTCATTGTATCTAGGCCCTCTTTGCAGACAGGACTAAGGCATATGTGCCTGCACTCACCCACACATGTATACATCCACCCATGTCTATTTCTATTTGTGTATTTTTGAAATTTTGGTATCATTAATATACAATTACATGAGCGACACTGTGGTTACTGGATTCCCCCCATTATCAAGTCCCCACCACATACCCCATTACAGTCACTGTCCATCAGCATAGTAAGATGCTGCAGAATCACTACTTGTCTTCTATGTGTTATACTGCCTTCCCTGTGCCACCCCCACCCCACATTATGTGTGCTAATCATAATGCCCCTTTTTCCACCTTATCCCTCCCTTCTCACCCATCCTCACCAGTCCCTTTCCTTTTGATAACTGTTAGTCCATTCTTGGGTTCTGTGAGTCTGCTTCTGTTTTGTTCCTTCAGTTTTTTCTTTGTTCTTATACACCACAGATGAGTGAAATCATTTGATTATTGTCTTTCTCCACCCAGCTTATTTCACTGAGCATAATACACTCTAGCTCCATCCATGTTGTTGCAAATGGTAGGATTGGTTATCTTCTTATGGCTGAATAATATTCCATTTATCTTCTTTATCCATTCATCTACTGATGGACACTTAGGTTGCTTCCATTTCTTGGCTATTGTAAATAGTGCTGCAATAAACATAGGAGTGCATATGTCTTTTTGAAACTGGGCTCCTGACTCTTAGGGTAAATTCCTAGAAGTGGAATTCCTGGGTCAAATGGTATTTCTATTTTGAGTTTTTTGAGGAACCTCCATACTGCTTTCCACAATGGTTGAATTAGTTTACATTCCCACCAGCAGTGTAGGAGGGTTCCCCTTTCTCCACATCCTCACCAGCATTTGTTGTTCCTAGTCTTTTCTACATTGGCCATCCTAACTAGTGTGAGATGATATCTCATTGTGGTTTTAATTTGCATTTCCCTGATAGGTAGCAATGAGGAGATGTGCCTGTTGACTATCTGAATTTCTTCCTTGGAGAAGCCTCTGTTCATATTCTCCACCCATTTTTTAATAGGGTTATTTGCTTTTTGGGTGTTGAGGCATATGAGTTCTTTATATATTTTGGATTTTAATCCCTTGTCAGATATGTCACTTATGAATATATTCTCCCATACTGTAGAGTGCCTTTTTGTTCTACTGATGGTGTTTTTTGCTGTACAGAAGTTTTAGTTTGATATAGTCCCACTTGTTCATTTTTGCTTTTGTTTCCCTTGTCTGTGGAGATGTGTTCATGAAGAAGTTGTTCATGTTTATATTCAAGAAAGATTTGCGTATGTTTTCTTCTAAGAGTTTTATGGTTTCATGACTTACATTCAGGTCTTTGATACATTTCGAGTTCACTTTTGTGTATGAAGTTAGACAGTAATCCAGTTTTATTATCTTAAATGTAGCTCTATTTGTATATTTTTAAAAACCTTGATTCCATACCAATACTTCCAATTGCAGTTCAGTATGACAGGGTTGATTCCCCCTTTCTGTATTTATGTCTATCTATGTTACATTTCAATTCCGTTTCTATGTTTGTAACCCCCTTCTTCAATAGTGAGAAATCTAGTTCCCATTATCTTTGTTTATTTATTTACTTATGTATTTGTCAATACTCCTAAATAGCTAATATTCTGATCTCACAGGCTTTTCCCTCAGCCCTGATCCTGCCAACAACCCCTGCCCCACTGAATGTGCCAACTGATTGCTCAGCTCCAACCAAGGGGAACAGGAGGGAGTTCAGATACTTTATACTCTGCATTATTCATTAACATTACCTAGAGAAAGGGTGAGGAAAGAAAAATCTGCAATACTATTGAAAATGTTCAGATTCATCAGGTATTCAACCAAATATTTTGCCTGATTTATGCTAAGCATGATATTTTTCTTGTTATATAGGCTTTGGTGCTAGTCTACATTTATGTAAATCTCCACTAGCAGTACAAATGGCAATTGAAATGCATTTAAATTCATTCTAATAATTCACAATCCAATTTCTCATGTACGATTGACAGATGGATTTACTTGGGGCAAAACTCTGTAATTTCATTGTTGTAAGTGACTATGAGAGCTCAGTAATACAGGGCATGCCACTGCCTCCCAGAAAGCCAGAGTGTCCTGCTGCTTCTTTCTGAAGAAAGGGACTTGTACCATAAAGCTGAAACTTGAAATTCTTCTCTTTTCTCTCTCTCTCTCTCTTTTTTAACTCAGACAGGTGTCTTTCTTTCTGAGCACACCACACACTTAAGAACAGGAGGCATCTCCTTACGACATATGGATTCCAAACGTGTTCTGTGAGTCTCTTTTTTTTTGTAACTGGGAGTGAGGCTCTCACTTATTAACAGTGTTTGCTGAAAATGGTTGAAGTCTAAAGAAGAACATACATTCTCACATTTTTCCTTTTCCCTTTCTTCATTTTAGAGCAACACTATCAAGGAAATGAAGATAGGATTTGGAAACTTCAGTGAATAATGGATCATATTACACAAGCAAATCAATGGAGTAAGTATATTTTCTGCAGATCCAGTCTTTCCAAATCACAGTCATTATAGGCAGAAAAGCTTAAGAACATTAAAGTCATATGATGACCATGGACCTCTAAGTAAATGATCACTGTATGGAAGATTTTATAAAATTCTGCTGACAAAAATTTATATTCATGTATTGGTGTTCCTTAACCACAGAACAATTACACTGAAGTACTTTTATTTTACAATGTCATGATGTCTTTTTAACCATTATTAACAATCTATGTCAAGGAAACACAATAATGATCCCACATCCTCACATTCATTGAATATTATTAGTTTTCTAGTCAAATCTGTTCAAATAAATTGAGTCCCCAGAACAGGAATGACACTTATTATGAGTCTGTTATTCCAATGCTTGACTTTTCATGTTTTGTTTTTCCCTAAAATTCTGAGAACCCGTTGGTTCTCTGAATTGGAAAATAGCTCTGGAGGATGTATCAGTGACTCAAAAGAATTTACGTAAATGGTGAAAAACATGGTATAGTTTGGGTATTGTGTATAAAACATCCACAAGCCATTATTTTATTTCAACATTCTGGAACATAAGAGAATGTATGTTGCAAAACAGTCCTGATAGAGACTCTCTCTGGAATAGATTAATTAGTATCCAAGCAAGACTTGGAGATCTTTAAACAAAGAGGGCTCCAGATTGTAGATTGATTACTTGATGGCATATATACTCAAAAAGGTCAGTCTAGAAATGTTCCATTAGTCAAGAAACAAGAGACTTTGGATTCAGAAAGGCACTCTAAGGGATCAATGGAAGAGGATTAGATAGGAATATTGTCAATAGCTTTTATTTAAAGAGATTACATTTTATTTTGCTTTCTTTACTTGCGATGATAATTCAATATATGAGTATTCCTATATTTACAGCACAATGCACTTTTCATATGCATTACCTTTTACAAATCTGCATGGGCAAATCTATAATAGGAAAAGTCAGAACCTTACAAAAGATTAAATTCAAAAAGAAGGATCCCCAAAGTAATACAATTTCTGCCTGCAAATCTGGTGCAAATATAAATGTTTCTGAGGGTATAGCATATTAAAGGCTATAAAAATTGTCCCCCAAAATCTGCCAATTTAATATATATTGCTTTTTTCTTTCTTTTTTTTTTTGGTGGGGTGTTTTCTTTTCTTGTTGACTTCTAGTTTAGTTTCAGACACAGTTTCCAAACATATATGACTTTTACAAAGAGAAATAATTTATCTTTGGAATGACGGAAGACTGAAGTTAGCTTTTTGTTTTGTTTTTGCTTTTATTTTTAACGAATGTTGAAGAAACATTTCCTCCATAACTGATCTTTATGGCTGGCAATTTTACTACTTCTATTTTTGCCACTGAAAGTGAAAATCAGACTAAAATACGATGGAGATACTATGCCCTGGTGTCCAGGGAGTGGGTGGAGGCATGGAGTGATTGAATACTTCACAGAGTCAGGTTTGATTATCTTGGACAGTGGATGAACAGACCTGGTGCAGAGTAATTGGGTAGGAGAGACCTGTAAGGCAATATTTCAAGGAAAAGATTCAGGAAGTTTAAGTTGAGGAGTTGGTTTTATTTCTGTTTTACTTAAGGATGTCTGGTCTCCAATCCCTTATGCTCTAAACAAGAGGATGCAACATTTACCAATTAAAATAGAAAATACTCAGCCTGAGTTTATGAGGCACCGAAAAATTGAATGAGAACCCTTCTCATCATGGAGCTCTGCCCATATTCACTCAAATACCCAGAATATTTGTCCATAACCTGCTCAACATTTGGGCTTTTAGGAACATTGGAGATGTTTGACTGAATGCTTCCATTTCCAGACAGACTGTCATTTTTGTCTAAAGTTGGATGGTTAGTAGGGATCATTTTATATATACCATCTTGGGTATCTTTACATTGTCTATTGATCCTATTTCTTTGACTGATGTTAATTCTACCTGCCAAACCAGCAGCTCCTAGATATTTTTGGCTCAGTACACCTTTATTCTTCTAAAAATGTTCTGTAACTTGGAAGAGCTATTGCCTGTATGGGTTTTATCTATCAATATTTACCATATTAGAAATTAAACTGGCAATTATTTAAAATAGCTATTAAATTATTACAAAACAGCAATGATAAACCCATTACATGGTCACATAAATAACACATATTACTATCAAACACACCCATAGTAGCTGAAGCAAAAACATTTAGTGAGAAAGTGGCATTGTTATATATTTTTGGCAAATCTCTTTAATGTCTGGGATAATAAAAGACAGCTTCTTCATTCAACCTATTGTCAGATCCTATGCAGGTAGCCTCTAGGGATCTCCACATATCCTCATGAAATAGTGAGAGTGAAAGAGGTAAGATATATGAGTGTTATGATCTTAGTATTGTAGTTCGGACCTCCTGACTCCTCTGAAAAGGGAAGATGACTGCTGAGATAAACAAACATGGGTACAATTATGATGTGGTTAAGTACGCTGGTTCAGAACTGTGTACAGGTAAGAGTCCTGATGGGGGGCTGCTCACTCTTCAGAACGTAGATTACTCATTACCCTGAGAGAGGCTCTGCCTGACCATTCTGTCTGAAGTAAGCATTCCCCACTTTCAATGCTCTGGAGCCAAGTACCCTGTTTTTTGTTTGTTTGTTTATTCATTTGTTTTTCTCATTCCAATTTAAACTTTACCACTTTATTCCTTTATGTTAACTTGGCTCTCCCTCACTAGACTATAAACCTCTTCAGCTTTCTGTCTTATTCACTGCTGTATTCTGCATGCCTAGTATTGTGTCTAACACAGTCAATATTCAATAATTATTTGCTGGTTTAATTATTGAATAAATTAGTGGTAGTTTTGCTTTTCTCACTTCCCTTTTGGTCCTTACTTCTTACACAGAGATGATCAGTGAACTCAGTGGAATTGTCCTAAATGCTTTTCCATTCATTCATTCATTCATTCAATGTTTCTGGAGTTCCTCTTATGTGCTGGTTAAGAGTATAGGACAAAAGATGAATAAGACATAGAACCTATCCTCAGTGTTATCCCTAAATAATGAGGCACACCAGAAGAGGAAACTTTAGCTGGATACAAGTAGAAAATGTAATTGCTATCAGGAGGAAAGTTCAAAGATGAGCAAGAGCCTGGCATATTGAAGGAACTGCAGGGGGTCAATGAGGCTGAGTCATTTAGATTGCAAAAGGCTTTCAGCCGGGGCACTGGGAAGAAAACAGATGTGAAGTTAGAGAAGTGTGTGACTTTGGGAGCCACAAGCCTTGGGTTCTGGATTTAGGAGATAGGACTCCATCTTAAAGGCAGAACATCACATGGACTCACCATACCCACTGACAAGAGAAAGTTGTGGGCTCACAGACACAGCCACAAAGTATGGAGCAAGTGTCTCCATTTTCCCTCCTGCTATGCAGATCCATAGTCAAGGAGGACTCATAAAACTCTTTACTATATCTGCTTGGGAATATCTAAGCCATGGCATTTTATAAGACACACAGCACTGAATGCCAGTAGTCTAAATGAAGTTATTCTGCTTAACAAAATATCTGCAAGAAGTCAGTTCATGCTCCTACTAATTCAGAAGGGAGTACTGATTATTTTGCCGAAGTATATTTTTTATTAACATAGAGGCAAAAATTCTGAACAGAACTTTTGCAAATTAAATCAAGAAAGGTATGGACAGAATACTAGACAGCAAGTTAGACTTTTCCAGTGATAAAAGTTTGGTTTAACATTTGAAGAAACAACCAATGAAATGCACTTAATTTATCAAATAAAGGAAGAAAGCATATGATCATCTCATTGATTATATTAACATTTGCTAAAAAACCAATATTTCTTCATAATAAAACTCAGTAAATTAAGAATAGAAAAGAACTCCCTCAGTGTGATAATAGTTATCTTCAAAAATATGCAAAAAATAATCAACTTAGGGTTAAAATTTTGGAAGTTTTAACCCTAAATTTGGGAAAAGCATAAAGATGTCAGCTATCATCACTTTTATTCAACATTGTACTGGTGGTCCTAGTCTGGAAGAAAAATACAGGGTACAAGGATTGAAAGGAGAGGGAGAAAACCATCTTATTTTTAGATGATGAGATTTGGTATATTGAATATCTAAAAACACTGCCATTAAGAAATTACTGTGTATCTATATATCAGCAATGAATTATTAGATATTAAAATGGAAAAATGTACACATACAGTAGTATAAAAAATCAAATACCTAGGGATACATTTCACAATATCTGTATAAAATTTCTGCACAGAAAACTAAAACAGTTTACTGAGACAAAATTTTAAATACCTAAATAAATGGAGATACCACTTTTAAGGATTGGAAGACTCATTATTGTTAAAATGTGAATTCTTCCTAAAATTATCTAGAGATGCAATGAAATCCCAATATAAATCCAAGGTATTTTTTGTGGAAATTGACAACCTGATTCTTAAACTTATAAGGAAGGGCAAATGGTCAAAATTAGCAAAGATATTCCTGAAGACAAAGAAGAAAGAGGTCTTACAAAGCCATTTATTAAGACTGAATTAATTAAGTAGTATTGATGCAAAGATGAACAAATAGATCAATGGAAAGAATAGAGTCCAGAAACAAATTCTCATAGATACAGATTTACAATAAATGTTCCACTTTACTGCAAGGTTTTTCCAAAAAACAGTCTAAATCAATTTGCTATCCCTATTAAAAAATTAAATGAATCTTGACCCCTAACTCACACTATATACAAAATTCCAGAAGTGTCATAGAATGAAATGGATGTGTTAAAACTATATAGCTGTTTAGAAGATAAAGAAGAATTTGTTTTTTTTAAACCTTGAGTTAGGCAGTTTTCTTAAAAAACAATGCAAAGAACACTAGCCATAAAAGAAAGGATTGATTAATTGGATTTCAATAAATTCAGAACCTTAGTTCATCAGATGACATCATCTAGAGAGTGAAAAGACTAGGAAGAATGGGAAAGAAGATGTTTGCTATGTACATATCACTCTCTCTCTTTTTATCTCTCTGTGTCCCCCTCTCTCTATGTCTCTTCTGTATATCAATA